GAAGAAAGCAGCAGATTGTGTTGAATCACTTCATCACAGTCTCCCATCCTGAGCAAACGGTGGAGAGGAAAAACTCCCTGCTAATCAGGAAGAAASCTCCAGCAGAACCAGGCTCAGGACAGGAGACCATCTGCCTCGACCGGCTGGTAACTCACCCTTGATCCAATGTGGCGGCATTTAAGATGGCGGCCATGTTCCGAACAAAGCCTAAAAGAGTCTCCTACCTGCTGGGATATTCAGTTGTTTATTTTTTCCCTTTTCTTTCTGAAATCAAAGGGTGTCCTGAGACTTTTGACTCACTCTGTTTCTTTTCCCCTACAACATTAGAGAAGAAACTTGTTCTGTTAACTCTGATGGCCATGTCTATCACGTGAACTGCACGGTATATTCTGACGGCGGGGCTCAGTCTAATCCCTGGCTTCCTCTCTGCTCTGTCATCAGGACAAACAAATATCGGATGAACCGCTGAATGTTCTCTGTGGTTACGTCTCGCTGCCGCCCTCCCATTTTTCAGATGTTTCTGCGATGAATAAACTTTCTGGCCTCTGACGTTTGCTCTTCAGCAGTGTGTTTGCTCTTTGGGTTTACCCAGCGTCCCCTCTTCCCCCACCCTCCCAGCTCGTAACTCGTTATTTGGCTCGTTTATTCCCACTTTGAAGCATCAGTTGCTAAACTTTCAGACGACACTGCCTGCCTGTTGAATGGTTTGTTGCCGTCAGATTTCGGCTCATGCTGAGCTCAACAAACCACACTGAGATTCCTCATTCCATGCCTTGTACTTTTTATTGATTATTACTAAGAATCAACACTTGTGTGAAGCACATGACTGTAATTAAAATGCTCAATCAACATATTTAGCTGTTTATAATTAACCATCGGCTGCAGATCAAAAAAAAAAAAAACATTATCCTTCCAGCTGTCCTCAGGTCAAAATGACCTCCAAAGCCTGAGAGGTCCATGTTTGAGGGTGAAAAACATCATTTCATCACAATAATCTAACCAATTCCACTTCTTAAAATGATTTACTCCTCAACACTTGTTGCTTGTTTCTTGTAAACTCAATAACCCACTTTAATTTGCCTCATTAGGGCWACATGAGGAATGCATGTAATGTGTGTTTGGACGCTCGCATGCCATCGCAGAACCACAAACAGTAATAAAGCAGAGAGAAGAGGCAGCAATGGTGCAAGAAAGGAAACAAAGTTGGASTGAGTGATGGACTGACTGTAACGASTTTACAAAACCACATATAAACTTCATAATTTAACTTTTTTATTCAATTCTTTGCTGGAAGGAGGAACGAAAAAAGAAAAGACTAAGTGAAATTTTTTCTTAAAGTCTTCACACTTCAAGCAAAGTTCCTTTAAATAATGCTTTTCACCTCCGTTCACGACAGAGTTTCTTATCTTGTAGCTGCTTTAGTTTAACTTTGAAAATTGCAATCCATCCTCCTCACTTCGCCTGTTGTGACGATTTAATACTTGTTTTTCTCCTTTTGACTGCTTACTTCTGCAGGGGTGGGGATATTTATAGGGTGGGCTAACAGATATATTACATATAAAAACTAGGTCACAGAAAAAAACATTGGTTTTGTTTGAATATCTGTCCCAGTCCCTTCACTTCAGGACGAGAAACTAAATAATCCACCTCATATATATGTTCATCTTGCTCACCATCGTACAAAGTACTTGAAAAAATTAACTAAGTAAAAGAAAAAATACCTTAATTACTTTGGTAAACATAAATTTCATCGATGAGAAAAGAACTTAAGTAAAAGTCATAAAACTAAGTGTAGCAATTTGAGTTTTTTCACCAGCAGTTTCCTGAGTGGCTGAGGCATTAATCAGCGCAGCTGCAGCTGATCTTCTGATGAGCACCTGAGGGCTTTATAAGACGACACTGGTGAACTGATCCTCGCCGGAGCAACACATGCCTTATGGTATTTGTCCTGGCTGCTCTACTTTAAAAACCTTCCTGTTGAAACTAACTGTGTTTTTTATGTCTAGTGCTCCTGCCCGTGATCCCACCGTGTCGTCCAAAGGAAATAACACCTCAGCTCTGATCACCTGCCTGTCTGCCTCCAACGCCTCAGGAACTCACCTATTCACCTTGGATCAACTCAACCTGGAAATAAAAAGAAAACAACTCACCTCCGTGGATTCTCACCTTCTCCTCTGTGCCGCTCCTCCCTCATCGACCTCTTCTCCAGTTCACACCCCGACCCTCACTGTAAATAAAATCACTTACCTTTTGTATCTGGTCTCCCGAGTCTGTTTCGCTCCAAACCTGTTCATTTTTGACTTCTCACAAACCTGACACTAAGGAAGTCATAAAAATCAGGAAAGTAAAAGTAAAAGCACTTTACATGCTCTGTAAGAAAAAAACTGTTCAATTTATTTAACCTTTAACAGTATTTGTTCCACTGGTGGGTGAAAATGGTGATTTCTGCCTTTAACTGTTTCCAGATGGGCTTTTATTTTGAGGACTAGGGTGTCAGACAACTTCTTCTGGTTCTTGCCTTTAGTTTGGCACCTTAAAAATGTTGAAAGGCTTTCAAGGACTTTCAGGGGCGTCTAACCGAACAGGTTCCACTAAGCCAAGTTGAGAAAGTATATTGTCTCGTATTTACTCTGCTAGATTCAGTGGAATCAGTTGACATGACTTGGTTGAGCACATTCAACACGTCAGTTTTTAGAGTGCATAAACAACTGCTTTCATCATGAGTTCAGATAGATTAATTTTGAAATGAGGAACTAGGTGTCAAATTTTAAAGTAAAGAAGTAAAAGTGTCCATTTCCGATTTTAAATGGAACAAAATAAAAG